AAAACTCGAGCGCTTTCAAATAGTTGACTATTCTTCTTCAGGAGAACAAAGGGACTAATACCAGTTAATATGCAAAGTTTTCTTATGCTAATTATTTTCAGTGGCAGTGTTTCAACTTCTTGTTGCGGAAGGAGAGATTAAACACCCTTAAAATGATACAAAAGGTACTTTATTACATTTTTACAACTTCAAACAGTGCAAGAACAACTGTCTCCCACCAAACTTCCACCCCCACTTAAATGTCACGACTGTTAGTCATGATAAGAAATACTAAAAAAAATAATCTTATTTAGAAGAAATTATGAATTATGAGATTAGTAAAACCAGAAAATTAACTTATGAAAGAAATCCCTCTTAGAGTAAGCTTTATTTTTTATGTCTTTCGGAATTGCATAAATAACACAATTAATTAGATTAATCTTGCCTTTGTTTTTAGCCAACATCTCAAACAGCCTTAACTTAGTTTTACTTTTAATATGAACTAGGCATTATTTAAAACAGGCTACTGATTTGCTGCTGGAACACCAAGTTGTGAAAAAAAATCAATATATGTAAAGCATATACATTTTAAGCTTTTAATTTTTTTATTTTTTTTTGTAATTTTAAACATTCAAGTTTGGGTGGAATACTAAAAGAAAAAAGAACATCTTTATTTGAATACACTGACGACAGATGGCAATATAATGTAAACATAACTGTTTAGTTGCCACGTAAATAATAATTGAGTTGTCACTTTTTTTTTCATATAGCGAGTTTATATTTTTGTATCTTCTCGATAAACATAAATGGGAGGAACACAAAGTTTATCGATATCTGGAGGTGGTACAGAAGGATATCATGTTCTCAGAGTAAGAATGCTACTTAGACGAATACTTGTTTTATTAAACTTTAGCTAAAGCAAAGCAGTAAAACTAAATGCCGATCTCCCAACGCTGCAATAACTAATAATAATATTAATCTTGGACTTACATTACTAATAATAATACTGGTAGTAATACTGATGTACATGAACTTGATGAAGTAAATTTTATTATTATTATTATAACCATCTCGTGTACTGTGGGCATACTGATTTCTGTAAATGCAGGTATTTCAAGAGATACCCCATCTTGTTTTCAACCTATTGTGGTCATGGTGACTCCTTAATCCTATAGGACCCTGGACATCCCTCTTCCCCCTTCTTACTCAGATTTGTTTAGAGCCCTTGAGACTCAGAATTCAGTCTGTGGGCTCCTTCCACTTACATATGTGGGTTTCCATATCCATGGTGAGGGTAGTGCAAGTGGCACTGTCAAGGTATCACACATTTTTGCAGCACTCGTACGATTAAATTTTACATAGTATACCAACTAACCAACCCGTGAGTTTGGTTTATATTTTAATTCTAGATTTCGACATGTCCGTGTTTAACTGCACTTACACTGTTACGACTTACAGTATAATAGCAGCAGTATTCTGGAAGTATTTATGATGTAGTCTCATGTGATAGATAATGGTATATAGCTGTTTTATATGTTTCAGTAGCAAAACATTTTCTAAAAAAAGATATTTTATACATTTTTAAAAAATTGCATGATTTTTACATATATGCAGCATAAGCACACACACAAAGAGAGAGGATGAAGGTGCCAAACTAACATACAGCCCCAGAAAGTCACTTCCTCACTAAAAAAAAACAACAATTAAACAGAACTGCCAGTAATAGTTGAAAAAAAAGAAGTTTTTTCTTATGTACAGTGTACAGCTAAGACAGAGCACACAGTATTTCTTCTATTAACTCATTCCACAATGCATGGAACTCAGTTGTAGGAAGAAATAATTTTGTTTATAAACTAGCAGAATTACTTGCTTCTAGAACTAGTAACTCTAATAATTTAATTATAAAGTTGCCACTCCCAACTTTATAGAGTTTATGTCTTTTGAAATAAAACGGGAAGTTATTCTTAATATCTTACAGTTTTGAGAATTTTAGCCAGAGACCTCTGATTATTCACACTACAAAAAAGGATGAGTTGGAATGCAGGACTTATTCAGTACACTGTACTTTTGTTTGTGTTATTTACAAGAAATTGAAATTTTCCTGTAGCAGTAACACCTGAGATGCTAAGTTACGTTATTAAAAGATAAGATTATAATAAAAGTTGCATGCATTTTAAAATGAATAATGATGCCTTATCTCAATACTCAAATAATGATAAATTTTTTATTGCCTGTTTAAACTTGTTTGAGTCAAAATTGATATACATGTTTTATACCAAAATACTTTTGTATTGACACAGAGAAGCTTGATAGTGTTATTTGTATTTGAGGTTTGTGAGTTCATAAAAGTAGGATGTAAAGTATAAAGTAAAAAATGTAAACATAAGATAAAACTTGTATTCCATTGTTTCTTTATATCGGGTATGCATAATAATCTTATGCTGGTGGCACACTGTTAATTTTTAGAATATGTTTTATGTCTTTATCACCTGAGTTGTTCCCCTAAAGAAAAAATATGATTGAGATATTCATAGTTATTAAGGGAATTGATAGTATGAACACAAGTATATCTTTTAGAATGGTAGGAGTAATCTTCACCTTGTTTGGACTTTGGAATAAGTTACCTCCAGATGTGGTGAATGCAGCAAATTCAAGAGAGCTTAAGGGATGGCTCAGTATATAGTTAAATGTTTAGGGCTGGATTTGAGATTTGTTTTTTGAAATGAATGGACAGTCTTGATGGACCAAGAAACCCCATATTATCCTTAAATATTGTTATGTTAGTATGGGGATAGTAACATGTCCAATATTATGTAGGGCAGGTATGATTAGCATCTTATACCATCAAGTTCTTGTTTGATTATGTTCAATAAGCAAAAGGTTCTATATTGGCTAAATTGGGAATGATTTTGGTACATTTGTAAAAAAAAAAAAAAATTGCAACAAATAGCATACAAAATTCATTCCTAGATGTATTTTTATCATATCATCACTGGAAAGATTTACATATTACACCATCAAAAAACAAAGAAATAAACAAATAAAAATGTAATAGGTAAAATTTTTATTTAAATAATAAGGTAAAGGTGAAAAGAAAAGTAATGTATGAAAAATAAATGTTATTGCTAGGATATGAAAAATTATGTGGTTTATTGAACCCAACACCCTCAATACCAGCTTAACAAAATAATAAACATTGATATAAGAGTTCTTGGCCAGGGTTTTGTAAATAACTATCTCAAATTTTATATACAAATACTTTATATAAAAAAATACAAAAAAAAATGAAGTTGTTAATATCAGAGTCACAAAATACATTTTTTCATTTATGTAACATAACACTAAAGGACAACAAGAGATATTCTGCTCCATCTAAGCCATCCTATCTTCTAAAAGATAAGAAAAACAACAACTCAAAGCTTCTCCTTATGATTCAAATATTTATCAAGTTTTCCCTTTAACTTAAACTTCCCTTAAACTCTTTTAACTGTACCTACCACATCTAAAGGCAATCATTTTCAAAGACCATCCATCTTGTTAAAAAATAAAGCTGTCTTAGTTGAAGATGACTCCTGTCCTTTTCCAATGAAGACAACAAACAATTTCAGATAAATGTTTATATATTCTACATAACTTTTTGGCTTAAGCCTTTTTTGAATGTCACTGATTTTAAATATAGTAACTGAAAAGAATATATTACTACAACAATATATAATTGGTACTTGGCAAAACTCCATAATTACACAATTGATGAAAAACAAAACAATTGTACATTTCACAAATACATCATTTATTCATGACAATGGTTTCACCAGTAAAGGCATCGGGTGGTGCAGTTGGGTAGGCCTTTTGTGCCATACTTTCCTAATCCTGTGCCAGCTTTTGCAGGCTCTACTCTTTAGCATGGACTATTGTCCTAAACCTAGTCCTGTAGACTTTGGACTGATTTTGAGTTCCTTACCTGATTTCTAGAGCAGCTACCAGTGCTCTATAATTGTGCCTGTCATCTGCTGACAACTGTTCCAGTATTTCCAGTGGTTGTCCCTTCAAGCTCGTTGCCAGATATACTGCTTTCTGCTCCTCTGTCCATCCATTTATCTCTGCCAGGAGCTCAAATTGTGCCTTCCCATTGAATTCCTGTGGCTTCCTTCGTACTAGATCACCCCTATTGCTGACACTCATGTCTGGAATGTGACTTCTGGCAGGACTGAATATGTCTGTATTAGGGTTTAGCTGCAGGGTCTGGAAGGGGCTTCCTGTTGTCTGGGGCTGATTAGGTCCATGGCTAATATATCCTCCATGTGTAAAAGACAGTAAATCATCCTTTAATGTGTTTAATTCACTTTGAAATTTACTAATCTTTTCCGTTTCTGTATGCTGGCTTCCTCTCAACTGTTGGAGACTTTCTTTTTGTTTCTGTTCTCATTCTTCTTGTTTCATTTCTTGTTCCAGTTGCCACTGGTCCTGGCTTTCTTACCACTGCTGTAGTCTCTCTTCTTGTTTATTTTCTTTCTCCTCCAACCACTGCTGTAGTCTTTCTTCTTGTTTATTTTCTCGTTCTTCTTGTTTCATTTCTTTTTCTTCCAACAACTGCTGTAATCTCTCTTCTTGTTTCTTTTCTTTTTCCTCCAACAACTGCTGTAATCTCTTTTCTTGTTTCTTTGCTGTTCTTGTATTGCTGCCATCAAATCTTCTAAGTCTTAGTTTGATTTGCCACTTCTCGTATCCATCTTTTTTTTTCTTTTCAGTCCCACTCTTCGACACCAATTTGTTACATATCTGCTTTCACCTTGTCAGGATCAGTTCACACACCATGCTCACTTACAATGTGACCCAAGTAAAGCACCACTTTCTGGAACAAGTGGCATTTCGTGGGATGGAGTTTGAGGTTTGCTGCTTTCAAATGCTTGAATACTTCCTCCAGCTGGGATACTTTCTCATCAAATGTTGCTGCAAACACAATGACATCATCCCGGTACACCAGGGCTATCCTCCATTGTAGACCTTCCAGTACTCTTTTCATCAG